GAAGTGGTAGTGACATACATCATCCATCCATCACCATCATGCATCAAGCCATCCCATGAACCCATTTCGTGGATCTAATATCTGCCACAGTTTCAGTGAAATCATCTGGGCTTAGGAAGAAGAAAGGAGAAGGCCTGGTAGAGAAAATTGTAAGACTGGTGAAAAAGATTCTCTTCTTGGTGACTACAGCCGGTGCGCTCACATTCCTCCTCAAGTACCTGAAATACGCCTTGGAGGTGAAGAGATTCATGCTAGCAGTGGCGTACTTCATCTTGAAGGCTATCAAGTGTTGGGTTATGATCAAGTATGGAAAGCACCACCATGACACCGGTGTGGAATTTCAGCATGTCAAAATAGGCGAAGAACATCATTTTGTTGACGAAGAATCTCATGAGGATGATCACCATGACCATTACAACCACCATGATTACCACGATCACCACGATCACCATGATCATTACGGTCATCACGGTGACGAACATGGAGATTGGGGTCGAAACGATAGAGCGCAGCATTTGGCATACAGAAACAGAGTGCCGCAGAACAGCGGGTGGTCATTATCATCATTATTTTAAGGCGTACAGCGAAAAATATGTATGGTGAATTACAGTTTATTTTTTCTCCACGAATGAGAATATAGACGTTTTTAAGTCGCCTTTCATGGTTGATACTTCCGACATACATTTTTCCGGGAGCAAAGCGCATAGTGGGGGGTCACTAAGCTTGTCTCTGTGGTGAAATAAGTTAACTGAGCTCTGGAAGAGAATTGTCAATTTGAAATTTCGAATACACTTGTTTATTGAAGCTCCACTATGCTATGGCTTTGCACGATATAGGTGATGGTAGCTAAATAATTGCTAAGTTACTATTTATAAGACAAATTTTTATATATTTGAAACTGCTCAGCAATTTATGGGAAATGTCTAGAACGGAAGGCATTCATGCTTAGTGGTTCACCCTACCATATCGTCTCCTAAAATATATATCACTATATTTTATAACGTATAGTACAAAATCCTGACAAGGTTAAATAGAGTAAGATGGAAGTCAATATAATAATTGAATGAAAATGAGTGCAGTAATGGATTCAGATTAAACATCCAGAATCATTCAGAACAAAGATTTAAGAGGTCAAAAGTCACCTTGAATATGACAAGGTTGTGTTAACATTCTAATTATTGTATCATCTGGTTCGAACTTACTACAGCGTTAGTCGTTCTCCGGGACAGGATGGCGATGAAGATAATAATACTTATAATAAACTTCTTTATTTATATACAATTACATTGTAATATATATTACTTATATGGAGAAGTTTAGAAAAAATATAAAGTTGGCATAATTTCCAAACCTAAGTACAACAAAAATTATGAAGATGAATAAATGAAGGGATGAAAAAATGCACGATTATGTTAATTATATCTTTGGGGGGTTAAGCAATGTTATTTTGACTGCTTGTTTGGCTGGATAACGAAAATTCTTTATATACTTTGCGAAAGTTATTCTTGACCAAGTCATTATTTTTTCACCAATTTAGAACGAGACATTTGATCAAATTTACGTAAACCTTGCTGCTACCTACATTTCCTTAGTCGTTCTATTAAGCGCAACATTTTATTTTGCAAATGTGCTGAAGTAATCTATTGGTGCATATAGAGAGGAAGTGGTAGTGACACACCGATCCATCATCATCGTCATCATCATTATCATCATCGTCATCATCACCATCATCATCATGACCACCATCATTATCATCATAACAATAACAGTATCACTAGAATGATATTACTTTTTTTACAATATACCTGAAGAATGAAGGAGTGGTTGAACCGGTTAACTCTCGATATACAGGGTGATTCAGAAGTTCATATAAGCCCTAAAATATCCCGAGAGTACATGGACTTTCAGTTATAATTAAGGAAAAATGTTTAAAATAGAAGCGGTGACCTTGGATTCGACCTTGATTTGGACCTTGAAGGACATATGAAAGTCAACTTTAAAATTTCAAATATAAGCCCCTTCTTTTGATTCCGATACTGAAATTTTGCATTTGAGCATGACCTTGAATGTCCTTTATAGTTAACCTTGAGTAAACCCTCAGTCAAAGTACCACTACTGCTGTAGTTGTATGATTTTCCCTCAGCATCGGAAGGTGACCTTGGATCGATCTTGACCTTAACGTCGACGCAAAAATGATTTCCGGATGGCTCCAAGCCCAAACAGATAACCCAGCAGATCTTGTTAGTTACTTAAATATGCAACTTTTCCCCCATCACTTAAGCTTCTAACTGATCTCTGCTAAATCGTTACTGCAGCAGCTCAAGGTTTAAAGATGGTATGTTGGTAACAGATAGTGACATGCTGACAAAAGTGCCACAATCTCGAAGCATATCAATTTATCGGCGAAACATATCCTGCGCGTAACGTGAATTCAAGCAAGTGGAAGTGAGATCCATCCATCCATCAACTTCATCTCGGCCATCATCATCTCATCACATCGCTCCATCAAGCCTCACCGCTGCATCATCATGCTTCACTCTTCACATCGTTATAACACGCTTGATAGTTTCAGTCCGCTCAAGTTCCCCAAGGAAGAAGAAAAGAGAAGGTTTGGTTGAAAAAATCGTCAGACTCGTCAAAAAAATCCTGTTCTTGGTGACCGCCGCCGGTCTCCTCACTTTCCTCCTCAAGTACCTGAAGTACGCCTTGGAGGTGAAGAGGTTGCTCCTCGAAGTTGCATACTTCATCTTGAAGGCCGTAAAATTGTTCTTCTGGATCAAACAAGCGAAGACACAGGAGCCTGAGGTAATCTACACTCATCAGGAACACGATCATTACATACCTCATCATGAGGTGATCAAACATGACCATGGTCACGAGGAGCATGGAGAAGACGGTTTTGATGTCAGTGTTCATCATGATCACCATCCACATCCGTATTGGGGAAGGGAAGACCAAGCTCATAATTTGGCGTTTAGAAATCAAAAACCGCAGACCTTCTTACAGCGCCTGGTAGATTCAGATTAGGGGCATAAGCAAAAATGCGTGGATTAGTAACTCAATCTTTGAAGTAATGAATATGGTCGATTTCTTGTAAAGTGTCTTTCAAACTAGAGAATAGTTATACGCTGTATGTAAGGTGGGCCGCTAATTTCTGTATTTGATCAAGAAATACATCATAAATCACTTGGTTCAGCTAAAGGGGACTAAGCGCTCACCACGTTATCAAGGCCTAGGTCTATGCTTCATGTAAGTTGGATTCATTAAAACGAAATGTTAGTTGTGTATAGTCAGCATACATTTGGATGTAACAATGTTCTACACGCTCATGCAGATCAAACGTGCATAGTAGGAATAAAAGTGGTCCCAGTACTGATCCCTGTGGAACTCCTTACGAAACGTACTGTGAATCAGAAGTTCGAATGGATGTTTTCACTTTCTGGGTGCGATCAGTTAGGTAGGATCTGACGAAATTCAAGAAACTTCTGACATCTCAAAAGAAGAGCGTGTCAGATTTGTCGCCTAGGCTGTGAAGTATGTGGCATCTGCAAGGTGTAGTAATGCAGTAGTGGAACACCAAATTGGTAATTTATTATTTTTTTTTTGCAAATATTCAACGATCTGTTGGTATACTATCTTCTCCAAGATTTCCGCCAAGAAACATAAGCCACTAGGCCTAAGATCAGCATATTCAGATGGATTATTATTTTTGGCCAAAGGTATGACTTATGCATCCTTCCAGCTGGATGTGAAAACGTTCCTCTCTAAGCAGATATTAATAATATACGCGATGTGCTTAAGTTTTGCAGTCAGGTATAAACCAAGTACAGGTGATGCCATCACAATCCGCTGCTTTAGACTTGATAGACAAGATTAGGGTTACCAGACGAAAGTAAAATGGTGACACGTCGAGATTAAAGCGTCTGTTGACAGCACTAGAAGCCCATTTTACACAATTCGTATAATTTTCCTTCAGTTTGAGAGACATTTCACACTAAGGGTACGAACATAGTGGAGCGACGAGGTTTCAGATTCAGATAGAGGCTAACCGCGCGGTTTGCCGCTATGTGAGTCAAAAACACAGGTTGAAACCTGTCGGGCCATAGTAGCGCGATAAGGCATGCGTCGAGTCTCTAGGAGGTTTCGAGCGACGAGTTTTAAATAGTTGCATTCAATTTTTGTCACGCGTTTTCAAGCGATTTAATAATGGATGTTGTGCAATTAATAAATAGTGTATATCACAGAAGGGCTATATGGGATCAGAGTCATCCAGATCATCGCAACCGATACGTGCTAGATAAGTTATGGGAGGAGGTAGCCAATGAATGCAATAATCAGTCGGGTAAGTAAATAATTGTATTTTATACACATTTCAACAGCTAGAACTTACATCTTGCGGTAAAATTTTAAGCTGTCTCGTAACTGATTGGAAAGAAATTAACATAGTTACAGAAAATGTCGCGAACTCTTTGACCTTCACCCAGTTGCCTTCCTCTAGGTAATTCAAACATCTGATCTCTAGGAACTGCATCAGTTACTAATGTTAAATGTCGTTGAAATCCCTCTCGGTCCAGTATTGTATTATGCAAAATGCATATCGCCTTAATGATATCATCCGCAGTCTTTTCAGTAGTCTCTATAGCTTTGGACAGAAGACGCCACTTCGCGTACATAATTCCAAAGGTGCACTCGATAGTTTTGCGTGCTCTGGACAATCTTTGGTTAAAATTTATATGTTCCAAAGAGCGGTTCCTTCGATTGTATGGTTTTAGCAAATTGGGCATTAGTGGATACGCTTCATCTGCAATAAATACGTAGGGAGCGCGGACATTTGTTCCTGGTAAACTATCTGGATTTGGCACATTTAGTTTGTTTTGGTGTATCCGTTTGTACAAATTGGAACTCTGAAACGTTCCCCCATCGCTCTGTTTGCCGTAACCTCCGACATCTATCACAAGCAATTTGTAATTTGCGTCGCAAACTCCTTGTAGGACGATAGAAAAATAATGCTTATAATTGAAGTACATGGATCCGGAATGTTGTGGTGCTATAACTTTGACGTGTTTGCCGTCAACAGCTCCGATGCAATTGGGGAAGTTCCATACTTTCATGAAGTCTGCACTTACATTTAAAAATGTTGCCGTAGTAGGTTCTGGCATGTGAAGTGGTTGCAGCATGTTCCATAATATTTTAATCATATGTTTTATAATGCTCGCAACAGTACTCCTGCCCATTCGAAAGGAAAATGCCAAGTGTCTAAAGGACGCTCCTGTTGCAAGATATCTGAAAATTTTTGTTTGTTGCAGTTAAGAAAGTTTCTGAGAAGTGGAAAAATCTACGTGATTATTTCAGAAAAGAACTGAAGAAAATACCTCTGCCCCGGTCTGGTGATCCAGGCGAAGAGGCTCTTAAAAAGAGCTCCTGGCCTCATTTCAAAAGTTTATTGTTTCTGAGAGACCAGTTTCTGCCGAGATCCAGTCATAGCAACCTGTTGGATCCCGACAATGACACACAAGTTTCGACACCCTCTACGCAGATGGATGAAAATGATGGTGACTATGACGAAGACGAAATGGACGAAACGCAGGGTGTAGAAACGCAGGAAACAGAACCCGACCACACAGAATCAGTCACTCCAATTCAAAGCACACCAAAAGAACCACGAACTATTCTAAAGAATAGGGCCCGAAAACGGTCAAATCAACTTGACGCTTTTCTTGAGATAGAGAAGAAAAAACTACAATATTTAGATGAGAAACGTGTCGCTGCAGACCGTGGCAGAGCCCTACCAGTCACAGATGACGATAAACTGTTTTTTGATAGCCTTTTGCCCCACGTGGTGAAAATTAGGCCTCATCGAAAACTTCAGTTCCGCAATGAAATTCAAAATTTGGTTCAGAAGTATGCCTATGAAGAGTACTCGAACAATCAGTCCACCATCAATGTCAGTCATTCTGTTAATCATAGCCCGACATATACATCTCAACCACAAACATCGTTTGCACATTCATCCCATTTGTTGCAGGGGTTTAATTACGCAGATCAGTAAACATTATAAGTTATTATAAGTTATCGTTCGTTGTGTTCAGAAGACAGAATATTATTTTGCGTTACCGTTTGTTTGTTTATGAATAATAAAAGTATTATCCTTAATACATAATATTCTCTTACCGAATTGTTACCACCAACATTTCTTCGGTTCCTATAGGCGCTTGATTAAAATTTGTCCATTTCTTGTTGATGCAGGGTGTAACTTGTTCTAATATATACTGAAAGGTGGCAAGTTCCATTCGAATGTAGTCAAATAGCCTGTCGGGATAATTTTTCAGTTCTAGAAATAAATGATGGAATTCCCCTAGGCGTTTCCGACTTTTATTTACGTCGTGCACACTACACTGCCGCACTCCAGTCATTAAAAGCACTTGCAGGTAAGTATTATTGAGAAGAATGTCATCGTCACTGTCGGAATACATATTTTTACGTCTATCTTCGACAAAACGCGACGCTCTACTATAACCATAGGTGCCTCTTGCCTCTACGCTCTAGACGCTACCAGATATCTGAATCTGAAACCTCGTCGCTCCACTATGTTCGTACCGTAAATCGGTCATATTCATCGGAATTGATTCCCGGGGGCCGATAATAAAATCGAGCCTAGGACATAAAACATCTATGTTTTAGAATGCTTTAAGGTAGGATTTGAATTTAGTCGTTTAAGTAGTACAAATAATTTTCGAACAACCTTCAGAGGAGGAAACGACGTCAAGGCAAATTTTTTAAATCGTTTCGAACGGAAATTTCCACCATATTATATATTTCTTTCATTTCATTGCAGCTGACAATATGTCATTTGCTCTTATACAATCATGTTAATGTGAGGTGTAACAGCTTAAAAATAGCTATAAAAGCGAAATAAAATAATTTCTATAGCGCAAATGTTATCAAAAAAAACTTTCACAGAAGGTCATATAGAATATTTAAAAGTAACGATACGTTTCTTACGTAGAAACTCCTTATTTAGATAATAACTGAAATATGTATTTTTTCATGTCTCGTAACAACCTTTTGCTAATTTGTTGTTGGGCTAAAACGCTATAGAGAATTTTGAATATCCCAAATACCGCATACGTAAGCCACTTCGCTTTTTTTTGATATTTAAGTGTGGTTAATTCCAAATAGGTATAACGTTGAAGTTTGCGCATGCGCTATTTCATGATTGCTAAATCAAGCTATTTTGATGCTTAAACTCAACAGTTTTCGTATTGCTTTACAAGCCAGATATTCCTTAACGCAAAATGTACCATTTGTAAAGATTTTCAACGCGACCTTGTCAAACTTGTTTAGTCAGACCATATTATGTAACCATGCGCCTGATTCCAATTTAAGTTCGACCGTTGAAATTAAGGCGCCTTGCCCGTCAGATATTTGATCCACTATGATAACCTTGAAACTGGCCTGGTAATTTGACAATAAACGGTCGCTAGTATTATATGTCAAGATTATCATAGACAGGAACGCGATATTCAAATTAATTCAGAATCAAGCCCCATTGCGCTAATCTTTGACTTATTAAACTGATCTGAACTATTTCTGCATAACATTTACAAACTTCCAGTTTAGCTTTAAGGATGTCCATACAGTCAAGAAGGTCCCTTCTTCAATCATTTTTTGAACAGGTCCGGTTAGGAAGCTGAAAGTCGAGATGATGAAATTGATTCAAGAATGTTTTATTTCAACGTGAAATTGACAATTTAAAGTTTGAAGATGGTGATCGGGTGCCCTATTGAAACATTATTTAAATACGTCACAGTACTTCACGATTCTAAAGTACAGGGTGGCCGATATGTAACTGACTGGTTTGTATCTTGAGTATTTGTGAAAGAATAATAAAATACGATGTCTGGTAGACGTCTCAGGGCGCTCCACTACACTTTCAACTCTCTCGATGTCTTCCGGAGTACGAAAAGGTCGAACACCTCAAGAAGTCTTTAACTTCATCTGTGGGCCCAAATGGTGTTGAAATCTTGTCGTAGCTTCCGAATCGTTGCAACAACCAACTTGTTATTCAAGTAAAATGTTTTAACAATACGGACATGATGAATCAGACACATGTACTACAAACAACTGCTGCGGCGCCGCCTACTGAAATGCGCGTATCAAAAGTGGCGAGCAATTTAAATCAGTCAGTTGTATATTGGCCACCCTGTGTTGGCTTACTATCTCTCAAAATGGCGGATTGGCGAGCTGTCAAAATTAAACGATTTTTATAATCGTTTTGGTTGTAAATGTGCAAAGAAATGTATGACATTCCATCTCAAACATTTTACGATTTTGATATTTTAAAAAATGAACTCTTCCATATTTTAGTAGATCCTTCTAAAAAAAAATATTGTAATAGCCATTTTAAAATATAATAATTTTACATTCCATTTAAGAAAATATTAAAAGATGGCGCTCAGCCGATATTTTGAAATTATCAACGCACACGTTTACTTCAGAATATAACGTAGTGTTCATGCATCAATCTCATCACCCTGAGATTCAGCTTGTTAACTTAGCCCGTTCAAAAAATAAGGCGGTGGGGAGTTTTTAAAAGTACTGTATAATTAATTTTGGTGGTTGGTTTATGGTTTTAGTGACACTACTAAGGAAGGTGACCTTAGGTGTTCGAAACTTTACTATCAATCGCAAGCTTTTTAATAAACGAATTTTAGGGAGTATTTTTGGGGTACCAATACACGACGACATTTGACACTTGACATCACGTGTATATTAAATTTAATAAATCCGTTGTCTTGAATAGTTTGCATATCTATGAGAAGAAACACCGAACAGATTGACTTCAGAGCCACAAAAATCATATTTATGCGTAAAAAACTATTCTTGAATTTTTTATCAAAAATCTCTCTTCAAATAACTGGAAGTACTCGTTTGTATATGTTTAATCACTTTATCACAACACACCAAAATCCAAGATGTCAAGGGCGAGTACTTCAAGCATCTGCTACTTTATGATTTATATTTTCTTATATCCTTATAAAAAAAATGTTTCCTACTGACTCTCAAAAAAGTCGTCTTTGACTGTTTTTGAGTCATTAGCTTAGTCAGAACGAAGTCCTTTTTCTTTAGTAATTTAAATAAATAAAAATCACACGGTCTAATTCACGGACGCATCGTCGTGCAGCACAAATACTGCTGGATTGGAAAAATTGGATCTTTTCTGGATTATTATTTTACGCAAAATTTTCAGCGTGTTCGCAAAGAAGTCCGCATCGATTCTTGTCCCTTTTGGCATATATTCAATGCCCCTGATGTCCCAAAAAACTGTTGCGATCAACTTTCCAGTACCCATGGCTTGACGATTATTACTCTGGGTTCGTATATGTATATTCAATAGCATACTTATGATAGAGACGTTCACACAACGATCTTCGAGAATCATAGCCTAAATTTGTTTGGTCATTTCATCATTTGTTGCCGTTTTGGGTCTTCTGCTTGGCACTCTTCTGTCAGAAACTTTATGACATTGTGATACTTTTAAGTTACATACTTTTTCTCAAAGTTCACTTTGTTAATGGGAAAGTAATTATCAAAATAGATCCAAGCATGCCACTATTTGACATAATATGCTTGCGTTTCAATTGTTTTTTCATGCCTAGCTTGACATCCTTTCTAGAGTCCTTCGTATCTACAGTATATTCAGATAAGATATAGACCGGACATAAACAAGACCACGTGATCATCGAACGCTGTAACATTCGGCAGGGACGTATTAAGAGTCACGCAGTACATATTTTAGATAGTAGATGCTGCTTTGCGTAACTTTGTAGTAAATTAGCACAATTCGATGTGTATACGATTGGTGATGGATATAGGATCATGTGGGGGTGGGGTAAGAAATATATAATGATGTAAATATACATAAGGGTTTCAAAATTTTCGCTTCGATTTCCAGCTTCGGATGCCGCCTGATGTTTGGTGAAATACAGTCGAACATAATCTCAAAATGGCGTTTAAATTAGCCTAAATTAAAATAATCGTATATCTCTTGAAATTGCTTTTAGAATATTGATTAGTATATTTTTTGATTTCTAGGTAAATATGTAACCAAATTAAAATGTTCAAAACGTAAAAAAATGTGCATGGTTGAACATTGTCAGAAAGTAGATTCTTGAATAGGTTTTGCCAAAATGGGTTCAAAATGTCAATAATTAATTAAAAAATACAGTAGCTTTATAATTACTTATAACTTACCGAATTTGATGAACGACATCTTTTATTGG